ACATATAAAGTGGAGGGAAACCCATCTATTATAACACTTTGCTTTCCTTCAGTAGGCACTTGCTTGGGTAACGAGCTTTTCAAACTCAGAGATTGGGCTGCTCCACTACCTCTGAGAATTACTACTAACCAACCACACCAGTCACTCGATACATACCCTTTCCAAGTGTCTGGGGCAAACAATCTGGGTTTCTCCCTCCTACCTGTCCATAGGGAGCGGGTGTGGTGTCCCACAACTCACCATAACCTCAACCTCCCTATGTGGGTCGATACCTGCCTTGTTCCTACACTTAGCAGACACGTGTCCTTTCTTCCCACATGTCCAACACACTGTCTCTCCTTGACCTTGTTCGTCTTGGGCTACCTGGGGTGTCTTCACGGCACCATGAGGGATGGTTCTCTCCTCCTGCTTATCCTTGGTAAAAGGTTTTCAGGAGGTCTTTGAAGCTTATCTTGTAGAGGGCCTATGGGTTAAAATGTATTCTTCAGCCATGGTCGCCGCAGCACCCAAGGACTCTACTTACTGTTCCTCCAAGTACGTTTTCAGAGTTTAATATGAGACTGATGGTATGAGTGAATGTGTGACTTTGTGGTAGTTAGTTTAGTTCATTTATTATGCACCCTATACCCATCTTTTGGGCTTTGGTGGAAAGGGTTACAGAGGCACATAATGGGCTCAGGGACTGAACCCCACAATTCATTTAGCTAAGCAAGTTACAATCTTGAACTAGTTGCAAAATTCAATGCACATCGTCACATCAGCAATGGGTTCGAGATCGACCACAAGTACAGGTTCTAAATTAAGCAACTGACATATGTGGAGAGCTAGTGTCACAATTTATATGTTTGTCCTGCACACCGCCCCCCATCCAGTGGGCAGCGGTGGATAGGTTACAATCACTTAATTACTACCTACTGTTAGCAAACTGGGGATATTTGGCTAAGATTTCTGGTAGCAGATAATTTTGAATTAAATATTTACACATATCTGGAACATTTGTTATAAAATTGTCTCTGAATTCACGTATCTTTTCGCACTCCATCACATAGTGACGGAGGGTGTGCGAATAATTTTGTTGACACAGTTTATATTTGGTCAGGTCTACATCCGCAGATAATGAGAATTCCCAGAGATGCTTGTAACCGAGTCTAAGCCAAGCAGTAGTAACATCTAGAAGTCTGCTGATTTTATTGGATGACCATAGATGTGTGGCTCCTCTTGCATGATAGTATGATGATAGATGGAATTACTGGTGTCGATTTCACTTTGCCTCAGATCTACAAGATCTTGTTGAAGTTCTTGGTGTACTGTTGCTCTCAGACTGCTTATTGACAATCCAAAGTTATACTCAATTTCTCCTTTGAAGGCGGATTCTTTGGTTAACTTATCAGCTCTTATCATGTATTCGGACGCCAACATGAGATAGAATCCAAATGAAATAGACTCTGTTACCATCATTAATAATTTTGTTGTGTCTAGCTTCAGATACGAGCATGTTACAGTTATGTCTTAAAGAGTTAGGAGCAATTAAGGATGATAAAGAATCACTAACAATTAATGTATCAATTTTGTAGACTTCTACACATTTCAGTGCAAGAAGCAAGGCAAATAGTTCGGTCTAGGGGCTTCTGTGCAAGGGTAGAGGCCCAGTTCTGCCCGAAACGCTGTGCGTACTAGTGGCTTTACAAGAATGTAAATACTGTACTATCCAATGTATTCTCACAAACCCAATGTACCTTCTTGTATATATATAAATAAATAAATAAATAAAGTTGTTTATACGGACTCCCCACTCAAAATATAAGCCATCGCCCATTGTCAGGACAACTGCACTTCCAGCTGCACCCGTGGGGCGGTGTAGGGAACCATCAGTGTATATGATTTGAGAAAAAGAAGGCTCTGTGGACAGAGCATCAATATGGCTTAAGGCGTTGAGCTTTGCCTCAAGACGAAGCTTGGACTGATATCAAATTTGATTCTTGGGTGGAAAGGGAGGGATTAAAATTGGAAAGGGGTGTAATCTCCCACGGTGCAGCAGGAAATTAGGCTAGCTCATCCTAACCCTTGTACAGAAGCCCTTCAGAACTTCTTTATTTAAGGTCAACATTGTTCCAAATGGATAACTAAAACTGGAACTGAACTCAGAATGTATCAGATTTATACTTTGTACCAAGAGAGACCAAGACTTTGTGGTGGTGTAAGTGAATGTGAGGCTTTGTGGTGGTGTGAGTGAATGTGAGGCTTTGTGGTGGTGTGAGTGAATGTGAGACTTTGTGGTGGTGTGAGTGAATGTGAGACTTTGTGGTGGTGTGAGTGAATGTGAGGCTTTGTGGTGGTGTGAGTGAATGTGAGACTTTGTGGTGGTGTGAGTGAATGTGAGACTTTGTGGTGGTGTGAGTGAATGTGAGGCTTTGTGGTGGTGTGAGTGAATGTGAGACTTTGTGGTGGTGTGAGTGAATGTGAGACTTTGTGGTGGTGTGAGTGAATGTGAGACTTTGTGGTGGTGTGAGTGAATGTGAGGCTTTGTGGTGGTGTGCGTGAATGTGAGGCTTTGTGGTGGTGTGAGTGAATGTGAGGCTTTGTGGTGGTGTGAGTGAATGTGAGACTTTGTGGTGGTGTGAGTGAATGTGAGACTTTGTGGTGGTGTAAGTGAATGTGAGACTTTGTGGTGGTGTAAGTGAATGTGAGGCCTTGTGGTGGTGTGAGTGAATATGAGACTGTGGTGGTGGTGTGAGTTAATATGAGACTTCATGATGGTGAGTGAACATGAGTGCATAATGGTGGTATGAGTGAATGTTCTGAAACAAGAATGAGGCTACACCAAGGGCATGCGTTATAATATTATATATCAAGATATCATTAAACCATAATCAACAACCGAAGTCTGGACTCTTAAATCAGCTTTACGAATCACTTTTTGAAAATAAACCATTTGCTTAATTTCTATAAAAAAAGGTTATATTTATATGTATGGTAACCTACATCTCTATAGTAGTATTAATTATATTGTCCCAAAATCAGGTATTGCTTCACGGGACCAAAAGATTGTCCCTCTTGATCGGAAAATGCAAATGTCAATCTTATTTTCAAGAGGGGCAGAAAGAGCTCAGCGGAAAACTACCGGCCGTTCAGCTTGACATCACACATCTGCAAGCTCATGGATAGAATCCTAAGAAAGGGAATCATTCACCATCTGTCGGTAAACAATCTTACAAAATCAACACATGGATTTATAAAAATTTTTATCCTACCTTACAAATATGCTCACATTTCTGGAAACGGTAACCAGCAAGTCAGACAAAGGCCTTTCGGTGGAATACATAGATTTTACTAAAGCGTTTGATAAGGTACCACATGAAATAAATCAATCAATAAATCTCGCTGTATAAATCTTTGGTGTGCCTTCATTAGGATTAATGTACCCAAGCATGAAGACCTCATCTTCAGGACACAGCTGCTCTGGAAAAAGTACAACACCGGGCAATAAAAATCATTCCAGAGCTAAGTCACCTCTCGTACGAGGAACGGTAGAAGGCCACAGGCCTAACACTGCAAACCAGGCATGGCAGGGCGGATCTCATTGAAACTTAAAATGCTGAACAATTTGTAGGTTGTTGATCCGGACAATTTCTTCAGAAGGTCAGATGTAACACAAACAAGGAACAACTGTTTCAAGCCCAACAAGCCACAATTTAGGACTGAGAACAAGAGATGCCTTTTCACCCATAGGGTTATAAACCCATGGAACTGCCTACCCGCCGAAGTCGTAAATGGAGAAAAATCTGTTAACTTTTAAAGTACAGCTGGAAAAGATCAAGACAAATGTAGTGACCTTCGACAACCCGCTGGCTTCCTGTCCTCGTCGAGGCCACTAGTGTTAGTGGCTCTCAGATAAGCCCAGGTAAACTCAGGAATGAAAGACTGACAAGAAAATTGCAGGCACATGGAATAAATGGTAGAAAAATAGATGGATAAAACAATGGTTAAAACATAAGTGTCGTGCTAAATGGGAATGAATCTGACTGGAGAAATGTGGTAAGTGGGGTACCACAGAGGTCCATTTTGGGGTTAACTCTTTTTGTCATATACATCAATGACATACATGAGAATATTACAAACCACATCACCAAATTTGCATATGACACAAAGATTTATGGTAATTAATGTTGACAACTGTAAGACAAAGCAAATGTAAAACATAGAATGGTGGACATTGCAACCCATGTCATAACTACCAAATTAATAACAATACATTACAGCAGATTGATGAAGAAAATGACCTTGGCATCAAAATCCACCACTCACTGAAAGTTGTACAACAGGTAGGAAGGAGCACCAGTCAAAAACTAACCAAACCCAATGGCATGACAGGGCAGATCTCATCGAAACCTTTAAAATACTGAACAATTTGGAGGCTGTTGATCCACACAATTTGTTCAAAAGGTCAGATGTAACACAAACAAAAAGCAACAGTTTCAAGCCCAACAAACCACAATGTGGACTGACAAAAAGAGATCATTTTTCACCCATAGGGTTATAAACCCAAGGAACCGCCTACCCGTCGAAGCTGTAAATGCCACAAGCTGTTAAATTTTAGAATTCAGCTGGAAAAGATAGTCAAGGCAAATGGGGCGACCTTCGACAAGCCGCCGGCTACCTGTCCTCATCGAGGCCAGTAGTGCTAGTAGCCCTAAGGTAAATTCAGTTAAAATGTTAACACAAATAACATAAAAACAATAAGTGTTGCCGGAAACGCTGCACCACATTACTGGATTTACAAACAAAAATATATAAACACTAACTATATAACCATTGTAAACATATGTTCTCGTATTGTTTTAAAATTAAATATTATTATTAGTTTTACCGTGCAAGAGGATATTAGTGGTGCGCAGCGGGGAAGTCCCGTGAGACAAGTGAGCGTCGAGTAACAACAAGTTGGGGGCCGAGTACCCACATATACTCCTTCAAGTAAGTTCTGGGAACTCAATATTTCTCAGAACTCAAGGTTGAGCTGGGAGTTCAACCTTGAAGAGGAGTGGATGGCTCTGTTTCCGCCTCGGCTATAACGGAACACTTATTTGCCTTTTGGGTCAAAATGTTGCCGCCTGGCATTCCTCTTCTGCGGCCCGCTTTCTGACCCTAGGGGGCCCTATTGCCTGGGGTCGCAGGGAAGGTGATATAATTTACTGTTTTCTGGCGGGGAGTTCTTCAGGCCTAACTTCAGGCCAGGTGGTTTTCGGAGCTGGCTTGGCCCCGAGAGGTGCTGGGAGTTTGTGGGTCTTAATGGGGGTCACTGCAAGACATCGTTGAATTTTGCCCTTTTGGATTTTGAGTATTAAACGGGTTGGCATTAGCTGGTTGGCTTCAGTTTTATTTGACTACTCGTTGGCCGCGTGACACATCGTCGTCTTGGGTCACTAGGTGTTGATAGACAGTTTTCCAGTTGGCTGAGTGTCGGGTGGGTGCTATAGCTCTTGGCTCCCCCCGGGGGGGGGGGGGGGGGGGTCACCTGGGTGTCACTGAGCACTTGCTGTGTAGTGCAGTTATCTGACATAAGGCACAGCAGTTTTTTTGTTTTTTTCCATTATATAGCTTCTGCAAGTAAGAGTATTTCCTGGCTTGTGGGAAAGATTGTACATGTGGCCCTCTGTTGTCACTGCCCCTAGTCCTGCAACATTAAGTAAGTTCTTTGCTGGCCTCCATTACTGCCCTTATTCCTTGCCAGTCATCTAATTTATTTAGCTGAATTTACCTGAGGCCATCATCTTACTAGTGGTCTCAATGAGAATAAAAAGTCATCGGCTTATGAAAATTTCCCGTTATTCCTGCACAGGCGCAGTAGTTTCTGAGAGATTTATTTTGTCATTGTTGCCATTGACAACGACAACCTAATGCCCCCATAATTTTTGTATTTTTTAACACCTGGGTACTAGTATAGGCTGAGGCCTATACAGAAAATTTTAGGGTGAAACAAACATAGCAGAAATCCAGTCTCTGTCATCCAACTGAACTGTAAGTCATAAAGTATGTGACAAAGAGGCTCCAAGTCTTAGAATATCTTTGGTGTGAAGTTTGCGAGAGTCCTTGATGTACAGTTGCATGTGGTCCAAAGGGAGGGTTTGGAAGGGCCTTAAATTTTTGTGAATGCATCTCTGTTGATAATTCTGGGCTGGATTGAGCCTTCCACCAGTAGAAATAAATCTTGGTGCTACAGCACATAGCATGTCATTCAGCCTGACTATGCAAGATCCTGGCATAATTACCTAGCAGATCTTAGTTACTACCTACAGTTAGCAAACTGGGGATATTTGGCTAAAATTTCTGGTAGCAGATCATTTTGAATGAAATATTGACACAGAACATTGGTTATAGAACCAAATGATCTTTTCGCACTCCACTTAAAGAGTTGAGAGCATTTAAGGATGATAAGGAGTCACTTACAATTAATGTATCAAGTTTTGAGACTTGTACACATTTCAGTGCAAGGATCAAGGCAAATAGTTCAGTCTGAAGGGTAGAGGCCCAGTTGTTTATACGGACTCCCCACTCAAAGTATAGGCCATCGCCCATTGTCAGGACAACTGCACTTCCAGCTGCACCCGTGGTGCGGTGTAGGGAACCATCAGTATATATAATTTGAGAGAGAGAATGCTCTGTGGACAGAGCATCAATATGGCTTAAGGCGTTGAGCTTTGCCTCAAGACGAAGCTTGGGCTGATCTCTAATTTGCTTCTTGGGTGGAAAGGGAGGGAGAAAAAGTTACTTTTTCTTTTCTGAAAAAGTGATCACTGGATAGGGATAGGGAAAGTGATGGACGCCAGCAAAGAACTTGCTTAATGTTCCAGAATTAAGGGCAGTGACAGCACAGGGTCACATGTACCTTCTTTCCCACGAGCTCAGAAAAGTGATTTTCATATACAGTTCACTTAGTTTTATTTATTGTTTTTTTTAAACTGTACTGGACACAGACATTCTCTAACATTATGCCCGAAACGCTTTGCGTAATAGTGGCTTTAGGCATTGTATGTACTAGCTCTATCTATAAATCGATCAATCTTTGTGAAATCTCTTGTATATATGTACCTTACCTAAATAAACATTTATTTATTATAACATTTTATTATTTATAAATTTTATTGCAGAGGAATGGCTGCAGCAGAAGAAAAACCACCCACACATCCATGGGTAAAGGATAAGGTGCTTGGTACTGGAGGATTTGGAACAGTTACCTTGTGGCGGCACAATGACACGGGGGAAACAATTGGTAATAATGTATTTTCTTACACTGTACATTATATTTTTTATGATAAAGTACTCAGCTATTAAGTATTGTATCAGGTGTTTCCCATTTGTTACAAGTATTGTTTTAAAACATGTGCTTAGTTTGATTTGTGCACTGGACATTAACATGTTTCTAATATAAAAATAATTTAAACTAAACACGAAGAGCTTATTTTCCTAAGCAAAAAAAAAAAATAAAAATAAAAAAAAAATAAAAAAATATTATCTTTAGCCTGTCTGCTTATGCTTAATCCTCTCACTGAAATCCAAGGCCATATTTTTAATTATTCAGTTAAATAAAAAAAATCCAAATTCCTTAGCAATACTTGCTTGAAGTTTGGCCATGTGGTCTTTTTGCTTTATTTGTGGCAAGTCTAAACAACATCAATCAACCTGTCAGCTCAACCAGCTCACTGCATAAACTGTGCCAGTGATCACTCTGCTCATTCTAGGTCCTGTAACAATTTCAAAGTAGAGAAATCCTCCCCTCCCGTCTGCAACTGAAATTCAAGTACAGTACAACATTTTCTTCCCAGGACAAATGCAAATTAAAATACCTGGGCCTCTTTTGACCTATTGTATCTCCTCCCTATATAATTTTTGATCGAGATGGGTGTTTACTCTAATTATGCCATGCGTTTAATCAATATTTATTAATGTGATTGCAAAATCAAATGATCATTATACCATAATTGCATAAGAAAAAATAGTTATACTTGTTAGCTTTTATCTAGTGTGAAACCATATTTATTTGTTTACATTTTACCAGCCTTGAAAAAATGTCGCTGGGGCACTCCAGGCACAGGCACAGAGAATATATTAACACCAAAACATGTCGAGCGTTGGGAAAAGGAAGTGGAGATCATGAACCGTCTCGATCACCATGCAGTTGTCAAATGCTTTCAAGTGCCATCTGAGCTGACTGGGCCCACTGGGGATTTACCAATGCTTTGCATGGAGTACTGCAGTGGGGGGGATCTTCGGAAGGTATGTTGTTCCTTATAGTGTTTTGATATGCTTGCCCCAAAATTTCACATTAATATATACTGTATTGTATTGTACTGTTTTTCCCCATGCATTAATTTTGCAAGTGGCAAATTATAACATACAGTATATATTTTTATAACCCTTGTAGCTATTCCAAAAGTCAAGCATGCATAGTGATTTAAGGAAGGTTATAATTGACCCAACTTCTGATCTTAAGAAAGACAAGCACAATTCATTTGTGCTTGCACAAATGAATTACACTTTTTCTTGTTTTGTTTTAAAAGAGCATGGAAGAAATACATTGATTTATTTATACCAAATCCCTTCTTAACTTCAGAAAACCTTGTCTATGACTTTTTAAAAGAACATTAGATAAAAGAAGCTGCAGAAGGCCTCTTGGCCAATGCAAGGCAGCTCTCATTTATACCCACCCCAAATACACTCATAAATATATCTGAACCTACCCCCTTGAAAGAATCCAGCAGTCTCATGTCAATTATATTACTGTACCTGGTAATTTGTTCCACAAATCTACAAAACTTTTTCCAAACCAGTATTTATCAAAGTTTTCTGAATCTAAACTTATCCAATTTGTATCTATCAATTTGTATTCTATTTTGTGGTGTTGTATTTAGCATTCTGTTAATCCATCCCATTGCTCATTAAACATTCATGTGTATGATTACAAGAGATTGTGTACACAGATTTGTCATAGAGCAGTAGGGTACAGAGGTAGAGGTGATACCCAAATATCACAATAACAAAGTTATCGCAAATAACCGAACTCAGTTATGGGCTCACTATAGCCCATGCTACATGGACATTTTGTTTTGAGTAGCCAAATCTAAAACAACAACAGGTACTTTACCTTCTCAAACTGTCTTTCAGTATCTAAATGTTATCAGTATTTTAAATAATAACACTGTACCCTGTTTCCCACTTAATCATCTGCAATTTAATATTCCTTTTCCCCTTAGGCTTCTCTTTCATTACCTGTCCTTTTCTACTGCTGCCATGTGTAACATTTTTACATGTTTGCTAAAGTACTCACCTAGTTGTGCTTGCGGGGGTTGAGCTCTGGCTCTTTGGTCCTGCCTCTCAACCGTCAATCAACAGGTGTACAGGTTCCTGAGCCTATTGGGCTCTATCATATCTACACTTGAAACTGTGTATGGAGTCAGCCTCCACAACATTACTTCCTAAAGTGAAAGTGGTACTCATTCTCTGCCCACAGTCTTTTTTTTCTGTACAAGCAAGTGGTGAGTGCTTCACTTGAGTGGTAGCATGTAAAATTCTCTCAACTCGTGTTGCAAGTCCTTCAAAGGTCTTTAATACAGAATATACTTGGTAAAGGCATTTGAAATATCTAAAGTAGATTCCATTTGAGAGAAGCCCCTCAAGAACGGGAAGTTCCTAGAGAATAAAGCATCAAGTATATAACTAGAGTAATGGGTTAAAATGATGTGTAAGCTGGAATTCTGAGGCTGTATAAAATGTTTTTGCTGAAAATTCTGATCATTTTGGTTCATGTACGTTGCTAACAAGTAAAATATTTTTAGTAAATTTTTCATCTTGCTTTGTATACATTACTTAAGGGGCTCGGTGACTGTGCACCAAAATTTCCTCAAAGACACTCAATTATATTGAGTAATATCTTCATGGTAAATGCTCCAACTTTTCCTAGTAGATCAGCATCATACCATGAACAGAAAAAAAAGTTAAAAAACAAAATAGAAAAAAAAATCACAATTTCAAATTTGGTGTCAAAATATTAGTATGTAACCAATTGTTATTTTATTCAGTGTGGTCTCAGAATGGCATATAACATTCATGTTTCATTTTGCAAAATATGTTTGAGAGTATAGTTTACTGTAAAACATTTTTTCAATGTGGCCATCCAAATATGTGCCAAATTTAAACGCAAAAAAATTATAACTCAACATTATGGCTTTATGACTAAATGACAAAGTGATTACCTTAGAACTAAGAACTTTGCACATGTATAAAAAACAGTGAGAATCGGTCAGAAACAGAATTTTTGACAGTGTCTCAAAGTTGAAAATTCTGTTCATAGAGAAAAATGTAGTTAAAGTTCTCGACAAATGTATATAGTACAGTACACTGTACTTTGAATTTATGACATATCTTGTAAATTTTAATTGAGATTGCTTGGCATTCGTACTTGAATGTGTGAAAGTTGTAGTCAATGTGTTGAAATGAAGTCAAGAAAAAATAACCCCCCAAAAAACTAAATATATGGATATGTTAGGGATAACTGGAAAATAGACACTAGGCCCCTTAACTGTCTAACAGTAGGTTAGACATATATATGAATGAGATTGAGTGGATATAAATAGGAGCTGCCTCGTATGGGCCAATAGCCAATCTGCAGTTACCTTCATTCTTATGTTCGTATAACAAAACATGTATATTGCAGTAACTTTATTGCCCATATATAAGCGATAAGGCCCTCATCTGGTCCTCATTCATCAATACAATCTAAATAGACAAAGAGAATAGAATTTGAAATCTGCAAATAAATCTGCCAAAAAAATATGTCAACTTTTGCCACCTGTGGTTGATTAATTAACATGTTGGCCAATTTTGTTCCAACTTCACATGTTTAGTGCTGGGTATACGTTCTCAAAGATGTAAAAGTCACAACAAAATCCGCATAGAAACAAAGGAAAAAAAGGGGAGGGGGGTTGCAGCTTTTCATACAAAGTAACATAAGAATTATTGCCACTGGACAATGTATTTATATGATACACAATAAAATACAGCATAACAACATACTAACTCATTATTATGCATGAAATCTGGCCCTCCTGGTGGCACCAGCTGCATATCCACTTTGTAGACCCTCCTTACTACTATAGTACTTGTCTTCTCTGTGCATTGGATAGGTGTTTGCATCTCTTTATGCCTGATTGCCAGTAAATAGGAGGTGTTATCGTTATTATCAGTACTGTACCAGTTTCTGCCCGTCGCACACGCATTTATTTTGAAAAAATTCATAAAAATCCATTTCTTAACATATTGGGATGAAATTTTCATGACGCTGATGCCAAATAACAGGAGATTTGTTTAAAAAAATTCAATATATTTCATATTTGGAAAAATTTTCTATGTCACTGGGCCTCCTTAAACAATAATGTCTATTTAATAATGTGGTATATATTATTTGGTATTCCTAATGGAGGATGTAACTGTGCAGAAAGATCTCGGAAGAGCGAGATATTTTCCCCCTCTTGATCCTAATGCAATTAACCCATACCAAGTTTTTTAATATAAACTAGATATATTTTTCTATTAAATGTTTAATTTCAGGTGTTAAACAAACCAGAAAATTGTTGTGGTATGCGTGAAGCAACTGTCCGTGCTTGTATACGTGATATGACAGAAGCTGTGGCATACTTGCACTCGATGAGAATTATCCATCGAGACCTGAAACCAGAAAACATTGTCCTCCAAGATGTCGATGGAAAGGTTTGTCAGGATTTTTTTTTTAAATCAGTAATTTTTATTCCTTTTGCTGTTTCTTCTTTCCATAAGAAATTTTATGCATTAAAAAAATGCAGCATCCTGAGCTGCATTTTTACCTTCACATGAATTGTCATGAATTACTCATGACAATTCATCATGACAATTAATCTTCCTACAATTATAGTACAGTACAATATTGTACTTATAGCAACTACTGTATTTGGATGAACATTAAATAATGAACTGTTGCAATCTAGAGTGTTCACATTTTGTACTACTGTGTCACTGTGTAGGCAAAATAAGGCAAACAAATAATTTTAAACATTCCTAGGCCTAGGAATTTTAATTTTTTTAAATTTTGCCCCGAGGGATGAGTTTATTGGGCAGCGCACTCATCCTGTGAGTGGACACTGCCATAGCAGCATGACAACACTCCCCAATAGGAAGAAAACCCACTGGGTTGTTCATCCTATCACTTGTACCCAGACACAGCTGGGACTTGCTTAACTATTTCAAGTGAACAGCTCCTCAGACTAGAAGATTAAAATCTGTCAACCCATAAAATCCTACATTATCTTGCGGGTGCAAAATGGGGGAATCTTTTAAGAACGGTATCAATATTTGACAAATAGTGTTTGCCTAACTCAAACAATGTGGGATTTATTATTCTACGCATGTTTCTAATGTCTCTCAGGTGTTAGATATTCACATTCGCGTAGATAGTGTCCGTCACTCTCATCACAGATTCTGCAACTCCGCTGATCAACTGTTTCCATTCCGAATCTTCATGGATATTTGTATCAAAGATGGATTTTCACTATTACTGATTCTCTTCCACGTCCTCCTCTTCGTCCATGATGATTGGGATTGCCAGCTGCAACCATGTTGTACCATTGTACAGATTCACTGGTTTGTGCTTCTATCCTCCTTTCCTCAATTACCTTGTCATGGTGATGTTGCCTGACAATACCTCTAATTTGTAGAAGAATCTTGGCCTAGGAATGTTTATAGTGCATGTACTATATTAGGTCTAAGATAGCTTATATTAGGCCTAGGATTGACCTTTTTGGAGTCCAACAGTCTGTCTTTGTATGTTTGAGCAAATAGTTGCTATAAATATTAACATTATTGGAGGATGGTCTGTCACATGTACTAATTTGCTCTAATGCAATGAATTGGATTAAAATAGCTGGCCTGGTGATAAGCTTGGCCCAAACCAGTTTAACTACTTGTCCTTTGTTTGCCAGGTCTCATGTCTTCTGCCTTTCTGGGCTGGTTGTCCCATTTTTTGTTTTTTCTCTCTGGCTGGTGCTTTGGGCCTCTGATTCTGGGTCTCGGTCCCATATTAATTTCTTTCTGGGGTTTTCTAGTCCTTGGGTCTGGTAGCTGGTACTGGGAGCTCATGGAAACCCATGCCTGGTTTCTTGGTGTCCCTCTGGGGATTTGGATTTTGTCCTGGCAATTAACTGTGTTTGCCTCCGCTTCAAGTCCAGGGGTGCTTTGGACAGCCCCCTTGATTGATAGTCTTTGGCATTGTCTGGAGTGTAGTCCGCCTCACCACTTATGTTGCACTTCGGTGTTGGGTTCATGGTTGGTGTTAACCATCCCAGACCCACCTCATCTGCCAACTTCTCCCATGGGGGAAACACTGGTTGCCTTTTTTGTTTACACATTATTATTGTATTAAACAATGCCAGCATTCTTTACCTAGACCCCATTGTGAGTTAGTTTGGGGAGATACTTCCTGAAATCAAGTACAGTATTGAATATAATGAGATGCTATCTTCTAGTGGGCCTCACAATTGCTCTGCATCCTTGCTCTGTTCCCATCTTTCCTGTATAGTGGAGTGGATGTGTTTGAGTAGCTTGTGAGGGGTTAGGCTGGAGGAGCTCAGGATGACCTGGACTGCCACCTGGTGGCACTCCAGTATATCGGTTATTATTTACAACCATTTGCTTGTTTTGTCGCACTAATACTTTTTTCTTTGATCCTCAGCTCCCCTTGCCTCATAGGGAGAGTCAGATTTTGGTCCTGGCTCCTGGTAGGCAATTATGGTGGGTATCAGGACTAGTGCATCTTCCTAAGGCATGGCAATATTAATGCTTATCTCATGGAGTATACTGAGAAACCGACAGAAGAGGGCATTTCATTACATGCAATTCTGAATTTTTATCATTGCAGCTGCCTTGTTGAAGATTTATAATACAAAAATAAGTAAAATTCAATGCTAAAAATAATTAACTGACAGTAAGACAGTACTATTATTATAACTTGATGTTTCATGAAAAATTAATAATTATAAAACTTGTATTCCAGACAGTGTATAAGCTTATTGACCTGGGTTATGCTAAAGAACTGGACCAGAGTAGTGTGTGCACATCATTTGTGGGCACTCTCCAGTACCTGGCCCCAGAGCTGTTCCTAAGTAAGAGATATACTTGCACTGTTGATTACTGGAGCTTGGGTCTAGTCACACACGAGATCATCACAGGCGTCAGACCATTTCTTCCAAACATGACACCGGTAGAGTGGTGAGTTGTCATGCATTGGTCAAGCCTTTATTGTATTTTTGTTTTTTGTAGAGGTTAACTTGTTACATACTTTATTTTAGAATTGACCTATATGTAAGATTTTGCTTAATAAATTTGCTTATAGAGCATGGGAATTAGTAACACATTAGCATACCCAGCGCGCCACCCCTCAACTATGCGATTTGGGTCCCAGCGTTTCACGGGAGCGCGCGTTAATTCTGAAAAGTGTATACTCTCCAACTTTGTCACCTCAATTCTCATCCTACGAGATTAAATTTGGTATCATTGTGTTCGCAATAGAATTCTCTACAGCACTAAATGCTTATAAACTCCAAAAGCCCAGCTAATTACCCACAGCAAACAGAGAAAGTGCGAACGAGTTACCCAGGAGCGGGCAAGTGATAAAATGTGTTCACTCTTTTCACTCTGGTCACCTCAATTTTCGTCCTAGGTCTTTCATTTTGGTATCAATGGGTTTGCAATAGAATTCTCTAGAGGAACATTAGCATATAAAATAAAAAACCTGGTCACGCTCCACCCGCCGACGAGTTGAAGACGGGCCACGCGTTAACCGCGAGTGCGCCCAGACGCCTTCCAGCTACACTCCCAATTCCTGCCCACAAATGTTTAGTATTTAGTATTTTAATATATTTAGTATTATAGTTTAGTATTTTTTGTGTAGTAGTTGTACATCACATAAGCATTGTAGATAGCCATTTGCACAAAATAGAAGGTCATTTTCTTCATCCATTTGTGAGTTTTCCTTATGAAGTGATAATATTTGATCATTTGGTCAAAGTGATCAACACCTTTCATGTTTGTATTGTAGTCACAGATTGCATTCGGCTTGTTGACAGTTACCAAACAGTCCCCAAAAAATCAGATAAAAACCTGATTTTTGTCAATTATTTTAGTGGACGACGCAGCATTGCGTCATCCCCGAGATTACCGACAGTAAACGGATGACGCAATGCTGCGTCATGCCCGGACTAAAGTGTTAAGGAAATATGACTGGTTATAGCTTAATTGCTCAGAATGCAGTTTTAATGATTTGTGTAGTTAAGTGTAATAGTTCAAACTAAATTCTATGGTTGGGTATTATATTGTGTTCAACTTAAATATTGTTCACTCAGTTTGGGACTATCCTGTTACTACCTCTAAATAAGTAGACTAAGGAGGTGGGTGGCAGATTGTAGAATAAGGAGGATGGGTAGCAGATGGTAGACTAAGGAGGTGGTGGCGTGAGTGGCCAAGCTTCTGACTAGGACTAACACATGAGCTGGTCACCTCCGGGTCTCCCCAAGACCCTCCATCCTGGACACCAGATCCTCCCTGCTAACTCCATCCCCTCATTCCCCCCACACTGGACCCCTCCTGGCTGTACCCCTCTCAGTTATATAGACAGTATTAATACCGTGGGCTTCCTTGCTACCAGCTGTTGAGTTGGGGGGCAGACTTCCTGAGCGCCTGTCATTAAACTCTTTGTTTACTGACTAGTTGCGACTGTGAAAACCTGATTGAACGTGAATGCATGACTGACTGTAAATGTCTAACTGGTTGCTATCACAACTGTGAATGCTTGAGTGCCTTTGGTTATGACTGCCTGTGACTGGTCTTGACTGAATGCTTGTCTGACATGTTGTGACTGACTGGTTCTGACTGGCTGCCACATAACAGAGGCAGTGAAATGTGTGAAAGGAAAATCTGGAAACAGTGATGCAGATATGAAAGTGTTTAAGGCGAGCAGGGGACAGTCTCGCCTCCCCACCCCCCTTCTCCTCACCTTTTCCATACAACACCACCTCTCTTTCCTCCTCACTGTCTCCCATACACCAACACGTCCTCAGTAAAGGTAAAGTGCAGTTGAATGTTCACTTACTTTATTTATGGTTTATATTTATGCCTGATTGTTTTGTGTATGAAAAATATGAGTAGTATTCTGTATAAAATGTATTTTCAAGTTAATATTTTTGGGTGTGTGGAACGGATTAATTCATTTGACATTATTTCTTATGGGAAAATTTATTTCAGTTTACAAATTTTCAGTTTATGAGCCGTCTCTGGGAACGGATTAAATTTGAAAACCAAGGTATCACTGTATAGTATAAAGTTTAAGGAATGTCATAACACTAGTATTTTAAAATGGTAATTTAGAGTTTATTTCCAGGATGAAGCGAGTACGAACAAAACAGTCTCACCACGTTTGTGTGTATGAGGGACGAAATGGTGAAGTACAGTTTTCTTCACACATGTTCAATGAATGTCACATCTCCTCCCCTTTTAGGTAAGTACAGAATAAACATTAGCACAACGTTAATTTGGGTATACCCTCGGCATTTTCCTGTGAATCTAAATTAGGGTGGTGGTTTTTATTTTTACTATTACTTTTTGTGGTTCTTATTGCCTTTTACTGTAAAGTTAGACCATATTTCCCAGAATCTTACCTAGCCGTTGGCTTATTGTTTTGATGCATTGAGTTACATTCTGGAACATTCAAGCTGCCACGAACCAAGAGTATGGGTATGAATGGCCACTGACTTGGGGCATTTTGTAATGGGTTAAAAAATCTACCTTTTGAGTGAATATAAAAACCATCTTTTAACATAATTATTCAGCTACTTCATTAGGTAAGATTCACTATGTCCTGTCAGCAAAATCATGTACAGTCAGGCAGACTGATATGCTCATTACCTTGCCACAGGTAACTTTTCAAACAGTCACTACAGGATCATTACATCCTCCGTAGAACCCATCCTCCGAATTGACAGTACGATTTAATACTAAGTGTAATAAGTACATTTTCTAACTGTCATAAACAGTGCATAATTACACTTATGGGGCTGTTACATTTACCCAACTCCCTCCCCCGATTTAATTTCCTCGTTTTCTGTTAAGACACTCAGAATTTTAGGATGAAGTTTTCAATTTCAATTTGCTATACACAAGTTTTAAATATCAGGAATTTCTTTTTCAGGTTTATTAAACAATATAGATTTTATGCAAAATTTTAAAATATCCTGAGTTTCTTTACAATTTATTGATATATTTTAGTTTTGTTTTATTAGTTTTATAAAACTGTAATATCAATATAGCTATAGGTTAAGTACTAATTGTAATTAAGAAGCAATAAAATTATTATCTTCAAAAACTAAGACGGTTAGGTGAGGTTGTGGTTTTCTATTCAGTTTTTCAGGTAAACTCAAATATTCACAATATATTTGACAGTACAATTTAATACTAAGTGAAAATAAGTACAATTCCTAACTGCTATGAATAGTACATAATTGCACTTATTTGTCTCCTTACATTTACCACCCCATTTTTGGAGGACGGGCTGCATTACACATACTGTTGAGTACTATTCAGGCGTGAAGGTTTTGGAGGTTCCTTCCCGGCCGTGTGTGGCCTTGAGGCGCCTTCCCGGCCATCTGTCAAGGATCTTACTTGTCTTGAGACATGCAGTGCTGCTGCCTCCTGAGTGTGTCCCTTCCCTTTTACTTATCTTTTGGTAGGTAGCTTCAGGGAGCCGACTGGGCTTCCCACAGAAAACCAGCATTGAATGTAATGAAATGGCATTTTCTGGATGAGCCCCTCATTGTTGAATTTTCAGTTGAGCCCAAAATGTCTGGAAGATATCATGTCATAAAAACTCCGAAGTCTTCCAAAACGTTTCTAGTATCATGGGTAACTGGGAATTGAGGGTTCTTGTTAATTACTAGTTAGCTTGTCTGGCCAACTGCACAGATTAACACCAGTACCATACCTATCTCTGAGTTTCTTTACACCAGCTACCCTAAATACAAAGGATCCAATTCTGTAAATGTGAGTTAGGTTCCTGAACCAGAAAATTTTCAGAATTATCACGTTTATGGGTTAATGGTATTGAAACCCTCAACGAGCCCTGACAACTTGTCAGTGAGTGAAATTTCAAACTTCACTACCAACAGCAACCTCATCCTCCACGAAGTGAAGGCTCAAGAATATGGTGAGAAGTAACAAAGTGAGAGTTGAAGTGGACTGAAAGCAATAGCAGTGAACAATCACATTTTGCAGGACTCGTGCAAACAACTTGGACAATGCTACAGCTGCTGCAACTGTTGAGTAGATATTTGGCATGTCACTGACACTGAAAAGATTTAAGAACTTCGCCTAGAAATGGGATGTAAAAAGCTCTTCTCATGCAAGGTGCTGCAGCAAAAAAGGGAACCTGCAGTTGTTAGTTTGCTACATCTCTAGAAGAGGTGTGTGACGTTATAGTGCGGTAGTGCAGCAAATACCAGAGCAGCTGGAAATGCCCTTACGCACATTAAACAAAAACAAGATAAATAAATTCTGCTTTGCCTTTGTGGTGTGAAAAGTTGTGGGGAAAAACAAAGATAAACATTTAAATACTTTACTTGTAAATTTAAACATAACAAAATAATAATTCTTAACACAATACTTGGCCGAACACAAAAAATTAAAATAATTATACTCGACTTGAAAAACAAAAGGGTGACTTAATCTAATACACAAGTCCACACGTCCACTGTCACGCATCGTAGCAGGACCACAGTGAGTGAAGGCGGTGAGATGTAGACCCCAGGAGCACCAGTAGTAGTCTGCTCTTTCAGGGCACCGGCAGGTGCTTATATATGTCTGTGGGTTACATCGAGTCTGGCGGTAAGGCGAGGTTGACAAGGAACCGACGAAATAACTAGCAATTTGCGGGCGCTGAACAGGTGCAAATAAAGGTATTCCTTATTCCGACTTTTACCTAGTTATTCATTCCTCCATCCTTGCCCATTGGCAGGGTTATTGGTCTTCTGTTACTGGTAACAAACTGTATGCTCATAAGAGTAGTGTGTCCCCGTGGCCTTCCTCCTACCACTGTAACCGGCAGGGGAAAATGGCTCTGGCAAGGTTGCATATTGGCCATACATGCTTAACTCATGGGCACTTAATGGAGCGCCACCCTGCTTCTTATTGTCCAAACTGCATTGTCCCTCGTACGGTCGTGCATATCCTTGTTGAATGTCGAGACTTTCAGGACAAACGTGTCTTGCTTCCCAACTGTCCCTCGCGGTCACTTGTCCTTCGATAGAATTCTTGGTGAATCAGATACTTCTGATATCGTTCGCTTTATGCGTTTCTGTTCTCATCTTGGCATCCTTAGAGATATTTAGTGTCCTCTGATTATTCTGCACATTTGATGGTACTACATAGCCTTCCCGGCTTGGTGCCCTCTTTTGATAATTACTTACTTGACGTGTTGATACATGAATGTCTCCAGAATGAGGTTTACAAATCTGCCTGTCAAAATGTCCTCCATTCTTGTTTCGTAGGCCTTCCACTCTATTACTTTAAAGGTGAAGATCCCCAGGTACCATCAGTCATGCTTTATCTTCATTTGCTTTTACTATAATCTCTCTCTCTCATGACCATTATGAGGCCCTCTCATAATGGTCATATAGTTCCTCCTTTGTCCATGTGTTGCTTGCTGGTGGGGCTGTAGGCATTTACAATTATCAGTTATCATTCTGTATCCAGACCTGCAATGCCAATATGTCAACTTCTCAAAGGTTTTTGATTATTAACACACTAACCTTGAGGGGTTCTTTCACCAGCACAGCTACTCCTCCTCCTCCCTTCGTGTGCTTTTAGTCCTGCATACAGAATCATTGGTAGAGGCAGAGTAACCAGAACCACAACTAAACCTTACTAAGCATGATAGATCTTTAAAAGTAGTAAATGTTGTTGGAAAGAGTGAAATGTGAGCCTTATTTTGATAACCATTTAAGTATTTCAAATGAAAAGGAAGTTGTTTACATTTTATGAGAGATTCTCCTCTATTTACAAATGACTTGTTAAACCTAATTTGGAGCAATCTGACAGCCAAGGAAAATTGAAACCACTTTTAGAATACAGTAATGTCAAAGCACCTGCCACAACTAAGAAATTTTAGTTTTATCAACACTGAAAACATGACTTTGCATTAGAATAGAGAAGTTTCTTTCATGAAGTACTGTACTAATTATAAAGGAAATTATATACGCTGTACCACCTTTTAACTCTGGAAAAATGTAAATAAGATGTTTAGACACTATTTGTTTTTAAATGTTTGGATTTGAATATAAATTATTCAATGCAGATAAGGTTTCTATATACTGTAGTATAAAAAAAAGTACAGGTGAATAAAAAATTAAGAAAAGTCAATACAGTACAGTACTTAAAATTGTGATGAATTGCTTCTTACAGGTCGGAGTTCAATCTCCGACCGTCCAAGTGGTTGGGCAACAATCCTTCCCCCCATTTATCCTCAAAAATCTTATGCTCATCCCTTTCAAGCGCTATATAATCATAATAGTTTAACACACTCCTGATAAGTTCTTTACCTCACCTTTATGTAAATATTTAAATAGGCCTGGCCAGTTCTCTTAGAAATTATATACAGTTGTATATACAGTTTGTTTCGTTTTGATGTCTTTATTTTTATAGTGTCATTCTAACTCAACACTTTTTCCTGATAATTCTCTCCTTTCCCTCTTATTTTCATTATACGGTAACCCAATACATTTTATTGGGAGGATTATTAAGTTAATAAAATTGTGTAAATGCGTGATAGACTGTGATAGGTGACGGGAATGTCTCCCTCAATTGCTTGGGTGTGGTCAATCCATATCTAATTGATGCTGATAAGATTCATGGATAATTTGTATTTTGTGTTAATACAGTTTTACGATTGCCTTAGAACACGACTGGAGGAGTGGCTCCGAATAATGCTGGAATGGGAACCTGGTCTTCGAGGTCAAGTACAAGACGATGACGGAGGCAAACAAGTGGTTGCGTTTACTATGATCAATGATGTTCTTAATAAAAAGGTAAAGTTAATTTTTAAAGCAACAAGAGCATATTCTCCCTATAAAATATTTTATAATACAATAATTATAATATCACAAGTTTGTTTTTTGTCGGCTTCTTGTAAGGGGTGTTGGCCATTTCGCGGTTCGCTCACTTGATGTGGGGGGAGACTCGCACTGTTTGCTCATGCCTGGTCCCACGATTCTTGGGCGTTTCGGGTCATATCCTCTGGCCTGTGATAGTGTTGGGAGGCGGCTCCTCCTTTGAGAGGGTTCGGGGCAGACTTCTTCCCCTGTGCTTCGTCGGGTCATCTCGGAGTGGTGTACTTAGGCATGGTCGAAACAACCCCATCCCTCAGGTGGGTTTCCCGCCTGTTTCCAGTGCCGAAATGGGACTGTACGGATCTGCGGTTCATTCTGGACTTGTCCCGTCTGAACCCCTGGATTCCTTGCTCCTCCTTTTGGATGACCACTCTGTCTCAGGTCTGGCTTCTGTTGGAGCCACAACCCATCCTCCAAATTGACAGTACGATTTAATACTAAGTGTAATAAGTAAATTTCCTTACTGTCTTACGTAGTTCATAATTGCACTTATGGGGTTGTTACATTTACCAGGGATGGCATTCCTGTGGCCAGGGATGCGCTTTGGGTTGATCCGGTTTCCCTCGTTACCTGTTCCAGGGCTCGGGTCTGCCAGGTCGTGAGCAGGGTTATTAATTCTAGCCGGCCTGTAGTCTATCCTCGTGCCCATGACATTTGGAAGTTTGCTTCTTTGGCTGCTGTCTTTGGTAACTTGTCTTGGGCTGATATTTGGGTGTGGGGATTTTGGAGGTCGAACAGGGTCCTGGCTGCCCATTATTTGGTCAACTTTCCTGGTCCTGGGCATTCGTATGTGGCTGTGGGGTCACAGGTTGCAGTCAGCTGTCTTGCCTTCGAGTTAAGGAGCGTGTGGCGGCCACCTCCCGGATAAGTCCCTCTTTTCCTTATCTTTGGGTATGTAGCTCCAGGGAGCTGGAGGGGCTCCCCACAGAAAACCAGCGTTGAGTGTAATGAAATGCCATTTTCTGGGTAAACCCCGGAACCTCCCTGGCACCCTCCCTCCCTCCCTCCAGTTGGAAGTTTTTGCGTTGTTTTGATGCTTAGCCTTGAACTGGAGTTGATGGGTAGCTGGTACTGGAGGTCTGGGAATCCCCTTCCCCCTCTTGGGAAGGGGAGGGCTGCGTGGACGAGCAGTGCGGCAGCGAGGTGTGACGTTTGCTTGTTTTCTTGCTTCTTTGGGAATTGAGGAAGTTCTACTTCTCTGTTTGGTTTTCTGTTGCAATTTTCTTACTATGCAAGGTCTGTTTTGCTATGCCTACCTTTCTGGGTGCCTAACCCCGATCGATGGCAGATACGGAAAACCACCAACCACAGGAGGGTTTTCCAGGGCCATTGCTCCCTGTATCTCTCTGAGGGGGCCAGGTTCTGGCTTGTGGTCCCCAGGAGGCTGAACTACATTGACTAATGCACTGGTCTAATGTAATGCATATTAGCCTTATAGCTCCAGGGCACCTCTAGGGCTCACCCAGAAAATGGCATTTCATAACATTCAATGCTAGTTTTTTGTGATGTTACAACTTAACAGGACAGGCTGGTTCAGTAGTCTTTTTGATTAAGGTTCTCTACAAATTTTCTTGGTAACCCAGTTAAATAATATTAAAGATACGGTCAATATCCCTTCTCAAAATATCCAGGTTGAGACACTCCAACCTCCAACAAGTTTAAACTTTAATTGTTCAAAATGAAGAATAACTTATGATCTTTTCTTTGGGAGCTATTGCAGTTGGTTGCCCCTAAGGTAAAATTTGTTGTCCTTGGCAAGGATCATTCAGAGGTGCTTTAACTCCCACTTTATCTGTAAAGTATGTGGACATTGGGCCTCCTTCACACTTGCAATTGTAGTTGTGGGGACTGGAGACTTGGTGCTGTCTTTGTACTGTACATCTGAGGAATAAAGGGAGTTTCCATGCTTCTGCTGAAGCTTGAGGTTCCTCTTTCTTATGGGTGGGAAGACCCATCTCTGCTTTGTCACTGGATGGAGGCTTCTACTGGTGTGCAATCCTTCCCGGATTTTGACATTACTTCTGCTTTTGCTCCTTAGCAGAACACAGGGCAGACTGCTGGTCCTAGAATCTATAAGTACTGTAAACTGAGCATAAGTTACAGTACCAAAAAGCATAAGTGTAACAAAATAAACAACTGATTAAAGAAAATTAGGTCCCCAAAGGTAATGAAACAATCATTGCTGCTGTACTTACCCTAACTGAGAATTATTTGAATTTTAAGATTTACTCAATTACAATTTTATTACAATATTTTTGTTTTGTTTTTTAGATGATCAAAGTGTTTGTTGTGGATTTATGTCGACTCTTGGAGTATGAAGTATCAGAAGCAACATCTCTATCTGAAGTTCAGCAATTGGTCGCTCAAGACAGTGGTGTGGCCATAGAGGACCAACGGCCGCTGCTTCCCCGTGGTCAGCCTCCTGATTCAACCCGGCCAGCCATTCAGTGTTGGGCTCCACCAGTAAGATATCAGATTTAATGTTGAATGTTTTCTCCATTTCCATGTAGTTGATTAAGTACATGAATATGGTACTGTGCAGTGCCATGTATGCATATGCAGTGCTATGTATACATGCCATTTTCATGGACATTTATTTGTCCTCCAGAATCATTGATCCATTGCCACAACAGCTTATCTGCCTTGCTTTGACATGTTTTTACATTACCTGTTGTGTCCATATTTATATAATAATTAGTTTGTATGGAGAGAGAAACTGCATGGCAGAGTGGATGATGTGTGCATCAATCAATTAAATACTGTTGGATCTGGCTAATAACTGGTTGGGTAACCATGTAAAGAGCCTTACCCTAGGCTAAGGTGACTTTGATTTGGCTAACAGGTTGACTGTCCTTGATAATGGGTAACCAGACTGAACTTTAAATCTCTTTTGACTTTATATATATACAGTACATATAATATATGTTACTTTAGTATAACAGAAGCTTGAATAGTATTCTTGTAGTTCAAATTTTTGTAGTATCAGTACTAGTCAAAATCATAGATTTCATATGTATTTTAGAAAAGTAATTGATTTATCATTACATTTAACTGCACCTATCATTTCAGTATTATTGTGATTATCAATTTTTATATATAATATTTACTTGGCAGGTGTGTCCCTATCCTTCAAAATGAGAGATAATGGTGATATGATAATCAACCCAATGCTCTGTATTACAGGATGAAGATGAATGGCTGCTGTACATCTTTGCAGAAGGTATGACTCGACCACAAGTGCCACCACACTTTCCACCACTGGTGGAAGCAATGCTGCGTGAGCCACGGACAACTGTCGATTACCAAACGCAGCGCAGGATGTGGGCACATGCTATTTTCTTCCTCCACCGTGAGGCTCGACTCCTTACTCTTCTGACACAGGCGCAGAAAGTGTCTATGTTAGTATTGTATTTGTGTTTTCCATACAACAAAAATTTATTTGTTTCACATTTTACTGTGCAAATGAAACCTTACAATTAATACATTATATCTAGGAGCAATGAGAGGTATATAGGCATCATAGCTATTTTACCTGGTACATTTATATGTTCCAGTGCCCTAGTACTGTTGTACTTGCTCTTGACTCTGTGAATGGAAGGTCAATGCCACCATGTTGTTTAGTCTTCCAAGAGTTCCCCCCATGTGGTAACCTACAAATTGTAGGCCTAATTCGGAAAGTTACACAATACCTCTGCTGCATCTTTCAATATTAGTAACAAAATTGGGTCCAATTCTACTGTTTAGCTGGAATCTTTTCCAGCTGATTCTGTATAACCACCTCAGTTACTACTGTAATGGTTTCCAAAATTCCTTTATCAATTGTACCCACCTTCATCTTGATCTTGAAAACTACTTGGAATCTCCTGTTGAGCTTTTTTTGCAGAGCAATGTCATGTTCCGTGATGTTTAAAAAAATATTAGTCTTATAAGGGCCTTAGAGTTTCTCCTTTTGTAGTGGCATAGTAACCAAAGTTGATCTCTAGTTTTTGCCTGTTGTTTAATTTTAATACTGCACCTCAAGCTTCCTTGTGACCCTGTATGCCTTGGTATGCTGTTGTGTGTTGTTTTTCAGTACCGTCTCATTTCTATCTTTGGCTTTCTTGCATTGTTGAAGCATGGGCTGATGTTGCTCTTCTCTTCTCCTTCTAACCAGGATAGTATATTCTGTTCTGTGGTGTCAGTACAATTTACTCATTTATCGTTTTTTCTAATTTCTCCTACTAGGCTTCCCAAAGAAATTCTTTCACCTGTAGTTCCATTCCTGCTGGGTCAGATATTTATTGTGCTCTGTGTTATAACCCTTGGACCTAATTACCCATGTCTAATATTAATGGTTTGCCTTTCCTGTAATTGGTTATGGGCTATTGGAATTTCATGAATTATGATATAAAAGTTGGGTAGGGGGTATATCCCCTTATTAATTGTTTCTACAAGATTAACTCCAGAGGCCTCACATAAATATTTTATATAAATATCTAGGGGTTGGATAATTCTTAAAAGACAAAGAGGAAAATATAGAAAATCGCATCATTATTCTAGATTATATTTAAAGAACAATTTAAGAGGTAGTAACATATACATACACAAATTATACTGTGGGTTACTCTTTGTTGAGCATTAATAATACTACTGATAACTATTCAACCCTTCCTATACTGGCACTAGACTGTACTTCTCAATAAGATTGGAGATTACGAGCTATGAAAATTACAAGCAGAGCATATAAATGCTGATGGTGAAAGTTCTAAGTAAAGTGTTTCATATGGCAAATTGTCATGTACAGTACTTGTCTAGAATTGCCGATATATTTAATTGTAATTGGGAAATAACGAGAGCAGAAATAAAATATAGGGTAAACTTGACAATGGTGTGAATGTAAGTAGGACATCCACTCAGCCTGACTGTAAGAATCCAGTTGTATTTCCAACCATGTCATAATGCTGAGAAAGTTTGATAATGTTAAACATTTGACGTGATCTAACTTATTTTTATCAAGGTCAAGATTTCTTAAAATGTTCTCTCTTCATTAAGTTACATCCTCTGACCCACTCAAAACTTCCTGAAGAGGTAAATAAATAAAATACCAGGTCTTGGTAACAACAAAAGTGAGTTAAAAGAGAGGCAGTGTTTGGTATACCCTGGCCTGGATGGCACGAATCTCTTAAGGCCATGTCAGTATTTTTTATTCTTACAATTGTGTTATTTACTAGCAAGTTCTAGAACTTTTCTCTTTCTTAACTTGTAACTAAACAATTTACAGAAACTACAAAATAATGTATATATATTGGTGCATCGAGAGATTTGTCATGGTTATGGAATAATGAATACATTAGTACAGAGGAACTTTTTAGGTCAGACTATGATAGCTATCAGACTCTCATAGCTAGAGGTGATGATTTTATGTAATTTTGCATTGCAGTAAGACCACTGAGAGCACAGGCACTTCTATGCACTCTTGATGTATAGTTTAAGATTGCCCCCTGGTATCTCACAGCTTAGTAAGGTATATAAATTAACTTATATTAAAGAGGATAGCCTCCCACATTCTAGGTACCACAACTGAGGTCACATTGGGCATCTAGTCAAACTTTATAATACAGGGATCGGTGGCACCAAGCAGGTCCTCATTTATTATTTACTTAATATTCTACTCTCATTGGGTGAAAAAAAGCCTGGAGAAGGCTCATCAAATTCTGACATGTCGTCAGGTTACTAGCAGGAAAATGGGAAGATGCCAAATGAGCTTTGGATTTACTTTTATAATTTCCTCTTATAATTCAAAATGTTGAAAAACAAATGCTGAACATTATGGTAGGTCAATGCCTAAACTTTGAGTAGCACTGACCCCTGTGGGATTCCGATGGCAACATGTCACCATTGTGAGATATCACCCCTCACAGTGCCTCGCTGTCCTTCCATTGCTTAGGTACTTCTTTTTCCTATCACTCCTGGCTGCATCTTCAGGTTGTGCACATGTTTCTTATGAAGTACGTGTCAAAGCCTTTCTGACAAGCCAAAAAATTGCAGTGTGCTTGCCCTTCTCTCGTCTGTAGGTAATCTAGTGTGCTAGCCTAATCCACACGAGTTTGTTAGTTACTACCCAATTTTGGCTAGTTCCCAGTTATCTTCCCATCCAAGGGATTACACGTCAGCTGGTAACTCAGCAGTCGTTAGAGTTAATTGCTGAATTCATCACTGCTGGACTTAATAGGAAGACTAGTTTAAATATAATAAATTCTACTAAAACCAGATTTATTGTCTAAAAAAACATAATATTTACAGAAATCTTTACAATTACAAAACCTGCAAGAAATTCATTAACAATTGCAATGAGTGGTAAGAGGTGAACAGCATATAAAGGACTGAGAGATAGTATATAATATGTACCAACAGCCCTGATATGTGGAAGTGATACTTGGGTATGGAAAGGAGCAGAGTGCTCAATAGTACCAGCTGTTGATTTTTTTCTTTTTCTATAGAAAAGCAGATGATGGAAATGTGTTGGATGGTTATAAAAATGAGAAAGTGTATGTGAATTGTGATAAGAGTAAAAAGAGTGAGGGAACAAAGCATGTTGTGGACAAAGTGCAATCAGTACACTAAGATGGGATGGGCATGTTAGTAGAATGACAGTTGTTTAACGAGTAGGGTGTACAATCATATAGTAGAAGCAGACAACAAGTGTCTTGGAAGGAAATGATGGAACAAAATATATACTGAGGAGGGGAAGGTTTGTGTTAATACAACTTTCTGGAGAAACTTCTGTTATGATCAGCCCAAAATTTTATAGTAGAGGTAGTCAATTAAAATTTCTTATGACAGCTGATTTCACTAAAGAAAATAGTTAAAAACAAGTATAATGTACAGCACATATCAAGTTGAAGGCTGGTTTAAACTTTCATTATACTTTATAACTGTAATGTTTTGCAGGCTCCATCTAATGTCTGGGCATGCACAGCTAACAAAAACTGGCCAGAGAATGCTCAGTGATATTGCGAAGTTGCAAGCACGTCATCATCTATTCATGGAGGCACTTAATACAGACCTTGATTACTACGATGAGCAGGCTTCATCAGGACGGTTGAGTAAGTGTGCATTGTTTGTGGTAGTAGAATACAGTGGCTTTTCTAGTTCGTCAGGTACTCCAGAAATGTATTTCATAATTACCCTACATGAAAAATCATGAACATGGAAAAAGTATGTAATATGCTAACTCAAATATGGAATTCCTTGTTGCTCATAGTAAACTTATCGGTGTACTGTATTTGCATTCATACTCTATTTTCCCGCCTTAGTGCAAAACAATATATAAATTAATTTGCAATTCCATTTTGACTAGTTGTGCTTATAAAATATACTGTATCCCACTGCCAAGAGAATTTGCATATTCCAGCTTGGCAACCAAAGTTACTATCCAGCCAACACATACATTAAGAACTAAGAAGTTATGTTGGCTTTACTCCTAAGAAAATACGACATAAAGCAATCAACATTGTGAGCCCTGCAACATTATGTAGATTCATACTTAATCTTGGCTGGTGCTTGTAATTGAAAATTTTAATTCAACGAGAACTTGGGGTCTCGTCGAATCACACTACTGTATATCTAATGAGGCAATGTCCTTTTTTTATCTCTCTCTCTCTCCAGCTTCAGAAAAGCTTTACAGTGGATGGCGTGAGATGGGGGAAGTGACCTTGAGGCAAGTGCATGCTGTGGTGGAACGTGTACAGCAGTTGGAAGGATCTCTCACTGCTCTTAATACACGCATATTGGAACTCCAGTGTTCACCCTTTGCTCGGGCACGGGCTAACGACTCTCTTGATACTGTGTAAGTGAAAGTAATATATATCAAGGCTTGTTTAGGTAATACAGAAATGGTTCATTAAAAATCTTGCACCAAAATTGGTTATTTATTTTAAATATAAGAAACACTGTTAATGTTTATTTAAAAAGTTCTTCAAACATCGTGTAAGTTTTTAATAACAAGTACAGTACTGTATATGGAAATTAAATGGCTGTAAGTTTTATAGGCATTGTAATGCCTTTAAATTCATTACTTTTAGACTTTTGTATATACTGTATATCAAAATAATACAGCTTTATTATAAAGTAAAGATATTTAAACAAAAAATATGCAGCCATTCCCCATACTTAAGACAATATCTTGGGACAGCAGGAAAGCACAGCAACTCGGGTGTGGGCAACAACAGATATAGTCTTTACAGGTGTAGGCATAACACAGTAGAAAGTGGAGAAAGCCTTCACAGGTGTGGAAGATAATACAATAGGGCATAGACAGAGCAACACAGTTGTACATGCAACAGGTGTGGCAACTGCACAGAGGGAAAATATCATTCATCCCATTAATTGGATGTGGGGGACATCCTTCACAGTTGGAGGGGGGGGGGGGCATAACATAGGAGATAGTGGCCAACAGCAGATGTGGAGACGACAACACATCTGTTGCCACCCCAGCAACAAATGTTTGCAACAGCATGTAAGTAAGGGAATTGCCTCGTAGGTGTGGGGCCAGCAGGTGTAGTCAATTTACAAGCTTGGAAAGAGTTTTGCTTCTGTGTATGTTTTGATCTTTTTCTTCAAGAGTTTACTTATATTGTCTTATGGTAAATATGAAGAAAAAAAATGTGTGTTGCAATTAGAAAGGTAAAAACAACAAATCCAAAGAAAATCTCCTCTTATTCAATGTAGAAAATAGTATGTTTATTTATTATACAGTATTTATTATGCATGTTGGAAAAAATGCACACATTAGTTTCAGGTTAATTTCACCATGTTTACTACTAGAAATTGAAGATTTAAATTATTATACATTATATGTATTTAATTTGATTTACCATTAAAGGTAAATTGTTTATTAACACTTGGATAAAGCATGTTCCTCTCATACTAGATAAGTAGTTAAGAGAAATTTAAATGTCAAAATTATATTTCTTTGGCTACATTTTGACCCTGCAAGGGGATAGGGATGAAAAAATTTATTTGCAGCCAAAGATTTAGAGTAGGTATGGTAGAGTATTATAAAATCAGAAGAATTAATTGTATCACATGGCAGCTAGCCAAGAGACTGGTCCCAAGAGGTATATTTAATTATCCATAGACGCAAGTACTGTAAGTACATTCAGGCTACTTATTTTTACTTGATAGCATTACTGGCAATTAACATGACCACATTACACACAGTGCTCCATATCAGTTATTTGTAAAGGTATTTTATTTTAACAAACTACTACAGTACTATTGTACTAAATTACCATGTATTTTCCATGGTTGGTTGGCATGGACCACTATAGGTCATTTAATTATGATGACTGAATCACACACCAGAAGATGAGATGACAACGTTTTGGTCCGTCCTGGACCATTATCAAGTCGAATGTAATAATGGTCCATGACACAATCTACTTGATGAGGGTCCAGGACGTACCCAAACGTCCTCATCTCATCTTCTAGTGTGTGTGGTCTAGTCTTCATATCTTCAGCCATGTTATTGTGACTCATCTTCACCACTTAATTAAAAATATATCCATTGTAACTTTTAAATTTAATGCTTTTAATACTTTCAAGAGGCATATCTGTGTTGTTACCCTGTTTGTAGGCTGGCAGCTGGAGAGGAACTATACTGCAATCTCCGACGTCGTAATAAAGAGCAACGGTCAACACCACATGACAACACAGACATGTGTAAGTTACTCCTTCAGGCACTGAGAAAGAGAGACAGATTGCAGCAGGATCTCTACAAGCATGTGGAGTGAGTATTCCTTTCCAACAGGTGAAGCAATATTATATACACAAATACTACATTATTCTATGTGCAAATGACACATTGACCTCAAAATTACTTTAGTATTTGCATTTATTTTTGTTTAAGAGCAGTAACTGCTTATTGTTAACCTAATGTATTGTTCAATGAGGCTGCTTTGATGAGGTAACTTTTTATGTTGGTTTCAGCTTTACCCTTAAAATAGGAATTTTAACATTTGCAGCGTTTGTAGCTTTGTAACATAGAATGTAAAGTGGCCAATTTTCATTGTGAGGTCAGTTTATTTAAAGTCCTGTAACTGATGAAGTATTTGTATATAATTTGTGTGTGTGTTGCATATATATATACTAGTTCAAACATGCAAGGAATTAAAGGAAACACAATGTGCAATTTTCTGCAAAACTTGGAGGCATATAAACAAGTTTGTTTCTTGCTTTAATTATGGCTTAATATATTAAGTTTCATGTTGCAGGGGTTGTGCACTACCTTGTCCAAAGTGAACTACTTTCTGTAGCTGCTTCCTCAGCAATACAAAATGTATTTGGGGAAATTCATTTTCTGTTTACGAACCCATTTATAGGGTCACAACATTGACTGTTGTTTATAAAAGCGTCAAGATATTAATAATCTGTAGTCCCCTAAAAAGAATTTAATACACATGTGGGTGTACAAGGCATTGATTGATTTGCAAAAGTTTACATTTCTGAAATGCAAAGCTTTTTGTGATAAAATATATGCAATATATAGCTTAATTGTTTTTAAATGCTTGCCAATGATTGATTTGATGTAAAAAAAAAAAAAATCAGTTTGTATTTCTACGACTTTAAACTTGCACACACACGTTATTTACTCTTACATCTCGCTTTATTTAAAATATTGCTTGAAACCCCAAACACTTAACTGATGATGTATTTTTTTCTGTGGATTTTAGAAAACAGAGTGAATGCTGCAGTGAAGTAGCAGCACTTTCATCCCCTCTAGAAACGGTGTTACAAGATGCTGCCAGGACAGCACAACATATATCTTCCCTACAGAAACAGCGGCAAAAAGATATATGGAAAATCATGGAAATTGCGGTAAGCTTTTGCTTTGTTGTGTAAAGAATGGGAAGGAGGGGAGGCCATTTTAGGAGGGAGAGCAAGTTTGTGGTTTACTAACCAGTGTTCTGTGTGTGGAGTGGGGCCAGTACTTGTCACTCAGAGGGACTCTTGGGGCTTCCTAGTCATCTGCCCCCATCAGTATGTTTATTCGGTGTGAGGTGCATTTGTTTCCACCGGCAGATGACATCCATTTTGCCATTCAACTTTTTGTTTGAGCCTTCAAGGGTATGCCAGGGCACATACAGCACCTTTGCTGTTGTGAGCCCTAAACCAACATCATCATGATGATTGTGGTCAATGGTAAGATGTGAGAATACAAGATCTAAATGACTTATGCCCATCAAAATGACCTAGACAAAAGAGCATGATAGTATGACAAATGAAACTGATTGTGGATAAATGACAATGAAGTACAGAATAAATGAAAGTGGGTCACATCCAACCTACAAATTATGTGGAATGAAAAACTGTTTAAAAGATACATTTAAGGAGTGATCCAGATTTTTAAACTAGCATATATTTAAACTGTTGACAAGTTTGTGAAATCATTTGCATATAAGGTGTTGGAGAGAGTAAATATTGTGGATTGATGCTGCATCTAGGAAGCATAATTGTTTTTATTTGACATTAAAAGGGGTAATATCGTATAGAAGTTGGTTTCTACCTCAGTTGGTCTTAACCAGATGAAGCTTAATTAGGTGATTATTTCTTAAACCTCTAAACTATGATCATCTTTTTAGATCAACCATAGTCGTACTGTTGGTACTGCAGGCTCGACACAAGCTAACATGCAACCTATTCCTAATGCGAAGAATTTGCAAAAGAAGCCACCATCACCTGCAGCTCTTAGTGCTCTCACTACTCTGCTGGAGAAATCAGGAAAGGAATCAGATGCCATTATAGCAGAAAATCGTGCTCTTAGATGCCAGTAAGTGCACCAATGTTTTACCGTGAATTAATATTTTTGTACTAGTACAGCCTTAAAGTATTTTAAGTACAGATAGAAGAGGCAGATATGGCAAAAGGTGATGAAATTAAGGATTGTGAAAAGAAAGGTATGGATGGAAAGGGCAGGGAAGATAGTGATTATTTGGTCAGAAAAGATTAGAAGTATGTGTAAGTATAGTTTAATAAAATATTTGTACATTAGGAAGAGATGAGTACAGGTAATTATTGTAGACTACTAAATGGTTGCATATCTTCCCAGAATGGTTGAAATGCTGACGGGAAATGTTAACTCCAACCTTGTGATCGGTGATGGGAAATCTGTAAATCCTACAGCTCCGCATCTTTCTCTAGATGGTCATCAACTTACATCAGGTCATCTGCAACGCACTTCTTCTCCAAGTATACTCCCGTCACCGAAAAAAGCAGTTGAAACCTCTTTGTAGCACTTTTGATGTATAAAATATGTAGATAATGTAATTGAGACAAATGTATATATGTATTATAACAAAACATGTAAACATTTTGAGGACAGAGTGGAGGGCAAGAGCATTTCTGACAAGTTTCACAAGTTATGTAAAGTTAGGTATTGCAAGAAGACTATTTTAAAGTGATATAGTATTGCCAAGAATGTAACTACCTGTATGTGAGAAAATCCGTAAGAGCCGTGATTAGGATTCGAACATAAGCGGTGGGCATTTCCACTCACACACCCTAGTCAACTTGAGCCACGACATGGTCCATGTCGTGGCCTATTTGACTAGGGCATGTGTGAGGGAACACTCGCCGCATAGGTTTGAATCCTCATCACAGCTGCTATGGATTTTTTCATTGACAAATCACGTTAGTGATTACGCTGTGTAATGTAACTAGTGTTATTGTGGGGTGTTTTAGTGGATAATATGTTAAGAGGTCTCTTTATATAAGGGAATACAGTACAGTACTTATATATATATTTAGCTTGCTCTTAAATTGTAGTTACCAAATCAAATAATGTATTCGTAAATGTTTGTTTAGTATATTGGTTAATTTAAAATTTTACAGTGAAATAATGGAAAGTCATAATATATCATGCATACCCGACAATGAAAGTGCAATTCTTATGTAATAATGTAATGAATGTATACTAGCTACCCTCTCCCCCCCCCCCACCCTCTTCCCTCTCCTCCTCTCCCCCCACCCTCTCCTCCTCCCCCCACCCTCTTCCCTCTCCTCCTCCACCCTCTTCCCTCCCTCACCCCCCCCCCAACCTCTCCTCCTCCCTCACCCCCCCCCCCCAACCTCTCCTCCTCCCTCACCCCCCCCCAACCTCTCCTCCTCCCCTCACCCCCCCCCCCCCAACCTCTCCTCCTCCCTCACCCCCCCCCCAACCTCTCCTCCTCCCCCTCCCCCCCCCCCAACCTCTCCTCCTCCCTCACCCCCCCCCCCAACCTCACCTCTCCTCCCTCACCACCCCCCAAACCTCTCCTCCTCCCCCCCCCCCCCCCAACCTCTCCTCCTCCCCCCCCAACCTCTCCTCCTCCCCCCCCCCAACCTCTCCTCCTCCCCCCCCCCAACCTCTCCTCCTCCCCCCCCCAACCTCTCCTCCTCCCCCCCCCCCCAACCCCTCCTCCCCCCTCAACCTCTCCCCCCCCCCCCCCTCAACCTCACCTCTCCTCCCTCACCACCCCCCAACCTCTCCTCCTCCCTCACCCCCCCCCCCCCCCAACCTCTCCTCCCCCCCCCCCTCAACCTCCTCCTCCCTCACTCCCCCTCAACCCTCCTCCTCCCTCCCCCCCCCTCCTCCTCCTCCTCCCTCCCTCCCCCTCAACCTCTCCTCCTCCTCCCTCACCCCCCCTCTCTCCTCCTCCTCCCTCACACCCCCCCCCCCCCCCCCCCTTCAACCTCTCCTCCTCCCTCATCCCCCCCCCCCCCCCCAACCTCTCCTCCCTCACCCCCCCAACCTCTCCTCCTCCCCCCCCCCCCCCCCCCCCAACCTCTCCTCCTCCCTCTCCTTCAAAGTGGGGAGAGGGGGGGGGGGGAGGAGGGAGGAGGAGGAGAGGGGGGAGGAGGAGGAGAGAGGGGGGGGGAGGAGGAGAGGGGGGGGGGGAGGAGGAGAGGGGGGGGAGGAGGAGAGAGGGGAGAGGAGGAGGGGAGGGAGGAGGAGGAGGGGGGGGGGGGAGGAGGAGGGGGGGGGGAGGAGGAGGAGAGAGGGGGGGGGGAGGAGGAGGAGGGGGGGGGGGAGGAGAGGGGGGGAGGGGGGAGGAGGAGGAGGGGGGGGGGGGGGGGAGGAGGAGAGAGAGGGGGGGGGGGGCGGAGGAGGACCCCCACTCCTCCTCTCCCCCCCCCCCCCCTCCTCCCACTCCTCTCCTCCCCCCCCCCCTCCCTCCTCTCCCCCCCCCCTCCTCCCACTCCTCTCCCCCCCCCCCCTCCTCCACTCCTCTCCCCCCCCCCCCTCCTCTCCTCCCCCCCCCCCCCCCCTCCTCCTCTCCTCCCCCCCCCCCTCCTCCTCTCCTCCCCCTCCCCCCCTCCTCTCCTCCCCCCCCCCCTCCCCCCCCCCCCCCCTCCTCTCTCTCCCCCCCCCCCCTCCCTCCTCCCCCCCCCCCTCCCCCCCCCCCCCCCTCCTCCTCCCTCCCCCCCAGAGAGAGTTGGCTTTTCCCGAAACTTCCATTCCACCGGGAGCTGCTACTCTGTTTATTTTTGACAGTTTAGGATTGTTCGTGATCCCCCACTTTGCGTGTTGCTGTAAAGTAAATAATTCCGTTCCTACCGTAGCTAGGATCGTCTCTCCCTGCATGGGTCAGTTCGCGTCTCCACCACACCAGAGAAACTTTTTTCCAATGGGTCCCAACTTTTCTTCACCGAGTTTGATTACTCCTCGAGTGGATTCCCTTCCAGGCATTGCACGATAGTTTATTCATCCCATCGAAACATGTTATGGAAGAGAATGCACGTTCGTTTATTTTGGGACAATTTTAATCTTTAATGCACATGAAGTAACCCATAGCTTATGTACAATATGCACCAACACTTTAAAACACTAGTCTATCCGACTTCCCAGCTCGTAATGGGTCTTTAAGACATTGCACTTTGGCTAAGTGCCTGCCTGCACGGTGTACGTAAGGAATTTCTCCCACTTTCTTGCACATCTACTCTATTCTACTTAGGCAGCCGACTCATCTGCTCATCTTAGAGGGTGTAGTGACCGCTGCACTTGTCTCCCGCCAAATTTATCTTCCTCTTCACTATACTCTATTGGGCTCCCAACAAGTCATTCATGTAACTGGCACACTTGTGTATTCATTGTCATGGCAGCCCTTAGTTGTTCGTGGCGTGCCACTATCACTATAATATAGTATGTATTTTGCACTTTTAATATATACATTTGCACTTCAGTTTTTATGAAGTTATTGAAATTAAAACTGCCAAAATAAAAAATTAAAATGCTTGATTTGCAGATGTTTATCTTCATCATGACAGTGGTTTTAAAACTGACAGGCTAAATACTTTACTTTGGTAAACTGTATAGCACTCGCCTCCTTGCCAGTGCTATATAGGTTTTATCGGGGGAAAGCGCCAAGTCATTATGACTATATAAGCCATATATAGACAATGGTTTGACACTTATTTCTGATGGATCTCTTACCCTTATGGACCAGCTTAAATTACTACATGGAAGTGATGCAGTAAAAGCTTTTAAACTTTAACTGAGCACTTATTTTCAACTAAGTGATTATCCGTGTTTAACTACAGAACTTTCATAAACTAGTTAGCATTAAACATTGCGCTTCATAAAGGAGCATGGAGTGAGAAAGTGGAAGTTCAAACTTTTTAACTTGCTGAATAAGCCCCCCCAATTATCCGACTCGTCCTCTTGAAAAATACATCTCATTTTGACGTATAAATAAATTTGGAAAATTCAGTCATTGGCATAGTGGGACTGCATTAAACCCAAAAGGATTGTGCCTAAATAGAAAACCAGCTTTTACAGTATTTTGTGAAAATTATTGGTCATCTTAGCCTTTGTCAATACTATAATATGTTTCGTTATAAATCAAATTTGTTGTTTCAATGTTATGGTGCTAGATGAATTATTTATTAATACTGACATTTTATGGCATTGTTTGGAAATTTAAATTAATATTTGACAAACTGTATTGCTACATTTCTTTCAATACTGTCTTAATTTAAATTGGATAACATTGAAAGCAGAAAATGTTCCGTTATATACATGTTTTATAATCTTAAGGTATAAAGTTATATTTCATGCCAAAATATTCTAACATTTCTTACTGTGTGCAAGAGTGCTTGGCCAAAATTGTTACATTAGTCCAAAACATTCTTATCAATTTAGCAATGAATTCTGAACTGCAAATATGAAACTTATTAGTATATTTTTCTCAAAAGTAACAATTTAGCTTTTTTATACCATTTACAGTACCAAATTCCAAAATATTTCCTATTCTAAAAATGTGGTTTCATTCAATGCCATAAATTATTTATACTCTTTGTGATATTAAAGTGCCTAACAAGTTTTGTCATACTTTAAGTTACTGTATTTGTTGCCTGGGTGTCTTGTTCCAAACGCAGATTGTAAATATTGGGGTATGTTAGCTTGGTGGGAAGCAGTCGAGTTGTTAAACTATTATTAGTCCCTTGGGATCTAGCCGGTATTTTTGTTAAATAGATTGTTACATAAACCATGTTTGAAACATGGTAAAAATTATATTAGAAATAATGGTAATTGGTAAACTGCTTTTTACCCTAATCCATCTGTACTTTAAATATTTTTTTTATATCAAAACTAATAATAATTAAGCCAGGCCAATGTGATTTGTAAATATGACAAACCGCTTAATTTATGGATTGTTTTGTCTAGTCATTTTATACTAAACATTAATAAATAATTTGTTATCTACTCTTGCCTGATTTGTTCCTATTCATGACAATCTTACCTATTATTTTAGAAAAATCTTTAAACCAAAACTTATTTCAAAGAACATTTCCTGCACAAAATGCACTAACGCATTTTTTTCTGACATGCAGTTATATAAACTAACTCCATAAAACTATCTTGCTCTCAAACTGTCATTATAACCAAATTTAAGAAAATTATTTACCAAAAAAATTCTCAGTACTTAAGTATTTGTACTGTATTTCAAACCAAAATTACTCAAAATTATCTAGCATAATTTCAGTGAACAGTCATTTTACTGTACTTAAAAAAAAAACTATGATACCTGAAGATACTGTAATACATTAGCCTAATTGCATTCTATTGGCTTTTGAGATTATTTCCTACTTCAAAGCTTCCTCCTCTTTTTAGCTGCTCTCTAATATGAAGGCATATACTATGGCAGTGTTTTGTGCACAACTCTCCCAATGGGGAATTATTTGCTGTTACAGCAATTTTTTCTTATTCAGCAATGGCTCCAGTCTACAACTGATTGTCATCCTTGGCTACCAGGTACGGCTAAATTCCCTACAATGAATACCTGTGCTGTAACTTGCTACAAAGCACATCTCTCTAATCGCCCCTTTAACACTGGCATTCTATTTTATACAAAAGTTGTACAAAACTGTTTGGGATTTATCTTTGATGCATCCTCTTTTGGCCATCACATTCGTAACTCCTAAATTGAATGCTCTATGGCTTTTAGCTGTTAAAACTGCACTATACATCTGTATACTCATCAGCTTCACCCTTTACCATCCATCTTTATGCTTTGCATTAAGACAAACAGCCTCGAATTAGTGCCACCTTTATTCTTTGCCATCAAAATATTTTGTATAAACTATTATTCCATTGCTACAAGACCATTACAGTCAATATTACCTTTAGTGTATTGCACAGACCCTCCCCCCCCCTTCCTCCTATGTCTCAATTTGTATCAAATCTTTACCACTAACCCTATTTTAAGCCCTCTTTTTTGTAGCCTTTTACTGAACATGTTACACGTTTGCACACTCCTCTGGCCATATCCATATTATGCCTACCTTAACCCCATGAATGGTTCCCTAGTGAAAGATTAGTTACTGTACTTCATAATTTCAAATAGTTTCACTAATCACGGGCTACTACTTACAGAATTGAATTGATAACACTTAAGTCATGTCAGCCAAGCTGGTTGCCAGAATGTCTATACTGCGTCTCGACAACCAATTTTATTTTTAGGTCTTTGTACAATTTTGCAGCATCTTAAGA